GTCTCGGACATTGACGACTTGGAATTTTGTTTCAAGACCAGTCAAGACCACAGCTGTGGAAATATCACTAAATAGTCAGATTACTGTACAATTTAGTTGTTAACATCTTTGTTTTCATTGGATTTTAAACATAATGATTCAAATCCAAAACCAGAGCAGTCCATTGGAGTTTGATAGAGGGGTTTATGGCTTTCTAGCAGTGCACAAACTATTTTTGATTTTTTTGAACACACCATCTTTTAGGACACTAGTTTGTTTTTTTCTGGTCTTGGTCTTGACTTGGTCCAGGCCCTACAAGTCTTGATCTTGTCTTGGTCTCGAGACACTATGGTGTTGGTCTTGACTTGGTCTCGGGTTAGGTGGTTTTGACAACAACACTACTTAGAGCCAAACGTACGACAACAGCATGATGTCTGATTTGGCTGCACCACCATGACCACATCTTTCACTAAAAGGTCTTTGTGCTGGAAAGAGATCAAGTTCTTATCTGTGTTCTGATCATTTGTTGCTGATTAGGTCAACAGGGTGAGAGACTGAGCTTTCCAAGGTAGCTGTTAGGGGGCGGGGCTTTGATGACSTCACATGACCACATGGTATTGTCAGTTTGGTGTGTTCTAGCCTTTCTGTGTGAAACTTACAGCTTTCTGAAATTGTAACGGACGGACGGAGAGCATTTCACGGTCGCCCACCTCAGCGACTGGGGACAAAACAGTGAAAAAGTGAAATACCTTTAATGTTCTTTAAATTTAAAACTAAATTTTAACATTAAAACATCAACCTTGAAAGGTAAATAAAACACACAAGTTCAGCTGCTGTGTGTGGAATGACCATAAGTTTGAAGCTGTGCTGAGTATTGTCCTGCACAGCTTAGTGTCCCTCTCTGTGATGAGTCTGAGCCAGATACAAATGAAAACATACGTTCAACATTCTCAGAATAAGGGACAGACTGGACATGCCTTCGTCAGTAACTATTATTGAATAATGATCTTTAGATTGTAAACATTAGGTTTCCAGTGTTTCACATCTTTGAATCACTGAAATCAGTTTTGGACACCTGTGATATTAGTTATCCAGGTGAGCCCAATCAAAGGAAAAACTACTGATCAAGGATGTTCCACATTACCAAAACCATTACAAAACCACTGTTTTTAAGCAACATGGGAAAGAAAAAGCATCTCTGCTGATGAAGTGTGAAATAGCTGAAAGCCTTCTATAATTCACATAAAGTTAAAGATGATCATCGTACTGTGAAGAGGTCAGTGTCTGATTCAGAACACAACACGGTCTGTGCAGACAAAGGCACAACAAGGATGTTCTCTAACAGAAATACAGAGCAGTTAAATGCCATTACACTGCAGCAAACAGATATTTGAAGCTGCTGGTGCTTCTGGAGTGTCATGAACATCAAGGTGTAAGATCCTCCAGATTCTTCATGTTTGACAACGCACCATGTCATGAAGCAAGAACACCTCTGCATCATTAGCTGCTATAAGCTGAGAGAAACTCATGGAGTGGAGCCCACCCTCCCCTGACCTCAGCCCTTAWTGAGAACCTTTGGAGCCTCAAGCTAAAGATCTGAGGGTGGGAGGCAGTTCCCATCCAAACAACAGCTCTGAGGGGCTATTGTGACATCCTGCAACGAAACTGAAGCAGAACCTCTCATTTCACTGAAAATGACCTCCAACTGCTGCAAATGCAACAAATTACCCTTTTCAGCTCTTTACAGCTGAATAATTTGGACCATTATTATTCAAATTATCTTCTTATTATCATTTACATGGACTATTTAGGAAAATCYGAGAAAGATATAATTTTTATCATTTGGAACACAGTGTAATATTACGATAAAGTCAAACTGATTTATTTTGAGGTCAGATTAGGTGCAGTAGCACAGAGTTTTACAACCCAGACACATTTTTATTTTCAAGGTTTGATCCAAACTGCTACAAGTCTACCTCTTGTACTAAAACTCTGGGATGGTGGGTAGTGGGCCATGTGCAGATTGAAGTTTTGTGCTGTGCTGTTTGATTCAGTTCTTGCTGTGTTTGAACAGAACCTATGCTGCAGGAGGAGTGTGTAAGTCCACAGCTCGTCTGGATGGGAAGACCGTCCTCATCACCGGAGCAAACACTGGCATTGGGAAGGAGACTGCCTTGGATTTGGCAAAGAGAGGTGGCTGAAGTTTTAAAGTATTCTTCTGTTAGACACTGGTTCTCCYTCATTTTGTACTTTTGTGGATTAAAAAACCCAACCACTTATGGGTTGAACTCAGCAGCTGTGTTTGTAAAACGCTAGTCCTTAATAACATCCATATATACAGTACATGACACGTTTATTTAGAATTAAATTCTGACAGGTTTCTTTCTGCAGAGAAGATAAAATAACAATGTAGACACCAGATCACTTGATTTACAATGAGAAGTTCATTCCAATCAGAGCTCCAGGTTCTGTTTATCAGAACCTTCATGTGTTGATCTGGTTCAAAGGTCATAGATTGACTCAGTCTGATGGAGCCGAGGGTTGAAACAGGCCTAAAAATTATCTTTATCCTGACACATCCTGATACATCCTGATACATCCTGATACATCCTGATACATCCTGATACATCCTGATACATCCTGATACATCCTGATACATCCTG